CACATCCGTGATCTCGTTCAACTATGCTAAGCCACTATGCTCAGCGCACTGCCTACTTTTAGGCTGTTTTTTTATTCCCTCTATTCCAGCGCCACTACAAGGGGTTATCTATTATTTGAAACAAACATAACTATTAAAATTCTATAATATTTACAAAAAACAAAAAAACAAAAATAACGTAACTGTAAAACTGGATGCTTACGCTCTAAAAAAGTGAAAACTACAGGATATTTTTCGTTATGCCAGGAGAAACAATTATTTTTGGTCATTTATAGAGGAGGTTATCAAAAACTCAACTAATAAACTTTTGTGGTTTGATAGATACATACATATATCTGCCATAGCTTTTTGGCTTTGGGTGGTCAACCTGAGTATATGAACAAAATCAGCTTTATAGCTCTTCAGCTGATATGATTTTTGGTATATCGGAAAATGCGTTTTCCATTTTGCCACACCCCGGATCGGGGTGAAAGTATACACTTTCATGAATAATAAAAATATTCCTGTTTCTGTTCGATTCTTTTCAAAATTCCTGAGCCGAAAAAATTTCTCGATGTCCCCAGCCCACAATAGCATCCTTATCTCAATCCTTATCAGCAAGGATTATGGATCTCAATCGGGGTTTGCAACCACGTTTGAGTAATTGAAATTAATTGAATTATTGAAGACGCTAGAGTGGGTGTGAATCGTACTCAGACATTTCGACTGCCTGCTCACTTGCGTGCCAAAAGGAGGCGTGGCTAGTGAGCAAGCGCTGGGCGTGGCGGGCAGGATTTTTGCACATTAAATCGATTTTTTAGCAGCTGCAGGACGCTGCACAGCCCCAGTCGTAGCTTATGGCTGCTGGGTCACGTGTGGTCGTGTGGCTGTTGTTTGTTGACTTTAGTGTCTTATCGGCCAGACGCGCGTGCCACTGCAGCCCCTTCCCTCGACACCTACACACACTGCAGTCGAATGATAACAAAATTAGCCACCAAACGGCTGCTAATTTGATTTTGATGCTGTTGACTGTTGCCTTTTGCCTATTGACGGCTGACTCCTTGGGGCGTCTCTCATTTGATCGCCTCAAATCCGCTTAGCGGGTGTCAGTCGAGGGTTGCTGGCCGGCGGCTGCTGGTTGTAGCATTTATATTGTTGCCTGTTGGGTGTTGGTAGCTGTTGTGCCTCGCCCTCTGTGAGCTGGATTAGGCACGGGTTCTCATGGCCAAGTGGCTAACTGAGTGGCCTAATCCCAAACTGATGACCACCTTGAGCACATTCGAATTTACATATATCACTGCTATCGCTCATGAATATATAATGAGATTATCAAATGAATAACGAAGCTCTGCAATGCTCGACTTTCAATTACAGTGTACTTTGACGCCGTTACGATATAGTATGCCGGTAGATATACCTACCTTACATTTTGTAGTAGTTCTAGTATAACGATAGCAGTTTTAGTAGCATAGTTATAGTAGTAGTAACATTATTGTGAAGAAGGGGAAGTATTTGGTGTAGAAGTAGAAGGCACAGAAAAAGCAGTAGTCGTAGAAGAAGCAGTAGTAGTGGAAATAATAGTGGAGGGAAGAAGAAGAAGTATTAATAATAAACGCGTATTATAAGTACTAGAAATAAAAAGAGTAGTCAAAGTATTCATTCGATATGGTAGTAGGTGTAATAGTAGCAGTATTGCTAGTAGTCTTGGAATTAAAGCTAGTAAAAGTAGTGCTATTGGAATTAAAGTACATAGTAGTAGATACTAGTAAAAGTAAAATGGTACTCGTAGATACGAGAAGAATTAACGTTTAAAGTTTTTTATATAGAGAGCGTTTTTGATACATGTAGTAGAGCAAAGTTAATCAAAACAATAAGAGTAGTAAGCCGTAAAAATTGAGTAATAATAGTAATCGTGTTAGCTATTAAAAGAGCAGAATAGTGAACTGCATAATACTCATTCACAGTATTTTTTCTGACTTGAGTGTTTAGCTCTAATGCTGTAGAAAATGCAGTTCTCTCGACTTGCCACGCCCCCAGATACATGATTATTGGCCAGTTCTTAGAATGAGCAAAAAGTATCTCAACAATACTTGAGATGCTTATCAGAAACTCATTTATCCAAACGCGAAGCTTCCTGCTCTAAAACTGTAGGAGATATAAACCTTTGTGATTTGACACGCCCCCTGTGGGCGTATATTTATCCGCCATAGGTTTCTGGTCTTGGGAAGTCAACCCAAGCATACATACCAAATTTAATATCTCTAGTATCAATATTGCCCGATATATAGCAGAATTTGAAAAATCACTAGAAGCTCAGATCCGATTTTCCATGTCCCTAATTAGCGTAGACATATAAGTTTTCTCATCTATCTTTGTAGAATCACAATATAAGCTCATGTGTTAAATTTCAGTTTTACAGTTTTACCCATTTTGCCACGCCCCAATGGACGTATATAGCTTTTTGATCTTGGATGGTTATCGCGAGTATACATTCCAAAGTTCAGCTTTCTTGCTCTTCAACTAATATGATCTTAGGAAGCGGATCGGAAAACTTTTACGAGCGATAATTCGAGGGTATCCACGAGAGTATGTTCCAAATTTCAGGTCTCTTCAGGCGAATCAATATACTCATTTTAGTTTCGTGAATGAGTGTAAAGAAATATATATTCTCCAGTTCTTGCATCATTTTTATGGAGTCTTACGGAAATTAACCGGCGTTGCTCGGCTCTAGTTGCAAATGAATTGTCTAAGTATTCTCCGAATAAGTTCTACACCGACTTTCGATTGCAGCAAGAGTATGTTTTTATGTGATCCATCATACGATCGAAAAGGGTCAGGCAACAGTACAACAGGCTTTTAGCTGGATGTGATTATTTTTTAAAATATTGAATGGCTAATAATGTATCTCAAATCTTGAATCAATTTATTTCATCGGATAATC